GCTTCTTGGTTTGAATATCTTTACGTATATGTTTTTGTATGTGTAATGCGTAAAATTGATAAGTGCTAGGTCTAAAGTTGTGAAAAGCGACTTCTTGGAAAAACATTTCTTGACAGGTTTATTCCATTATTAAAATAGTTAAAATATGTGATGTTTAGAAAATGTCACTGTTTCAATAGTTACGATGATGTATTAATAATCTTGAAATATATTATAAAAGTACTTATAAATGTCACAAACATTTCAATAGTCATGACATTTATAAAAGTCAACCAAATATATTTCATGTCATGGAAAACCTTTTTGTGACAAATAACAACTTTTATTGTCACACTTTTCTGGACTATTCATAACTTTTTTCCAACACAAATTGTTTAACAAGTATTGTCATAGTTAGAAGATTCGTAAAATGACATTATAAAAATTTAAATTGTCACTATATTATTTTTTGTGATGGTTAAAACAATATCGTTATTAAATGTTCCATGACATTTATAAAATTGTTGTTATACATGTTTTGGTGACATTTATAAACTATCGTCAAATTACATCTCGTGACAATGGTGAACAAATTTTTTATTGTTTAATGATAATATTTCAATAATTGTCATATTTTCTCTTTCCTTGATGGTTCAATCAATGACAGTATTTGCATGACGTGGCGCCTAATTTTCAAGGGCGTTTTCGATATTTTAATAATTGTTACGCACACTCCATTGGGTAGTTTTGAAATTATGATTTTTATACCCTGAAAGAAAATTATGACTTTTTCTCATAGTAGCCTAGTAGGTGAGTTTTGAAGAGGTCTTGTCATATTTTTTCCTTGCCCAAGTCCAAGTGTTAGGAACAGAAATCCTAATCCAATCCATAAATTTATAAAATTCAACAAATATGTTACAGAAGAACTTGCTTTTCTTCACTCTCTATTCAGGGTGATATATAACTTTGACTTGGCCTCTTCACTTAAAATTCATTTAAAATATTATCTTAAAAAAATCATTTTAAATATGGTTTAAAATCTCAAAATTCTCAAATAATGTCAACAACAATCTAGAACCCTTGTTGATTTTCCTCCNAAAGAAAAAAAGCCTCCTAATGTTTCTTCCACCCAATTCATTTATATATATTATGACATTTTAGTACTCAAAAAAATATATATTATGATATTTTAGGGATTTTTCATTTTTTTAATTCAATAGTAGTGGGGCAAGGATTGTGTTATCAACCATTTGAGATGGTGATAGGTGTCTAATCTACCGAGTTATATTAGGTATACAAATTGTTAAAGTTTTGATAGAAATATTGTACAAAAGAGGAAAGAAGAAAAACTAAAGAAAAATGTAGTCATAATTTTGATCTTCAAAGTTTGAGAAATAATTCAGGGAGGAATACTTCAATCCTTATTACTAGGAGTAGGTCAAATTGAATTTGGGAATCAAAATTACTTACCACTTAAGCAACATCTACCTTCCAATAGTCCATTTCAACCTAGCTAGTTGAAGCATTTATGTCAACTAGAAAATCGTGAGTTCAACTCTTCCCACCCCACATGTTTGCCAATTTTGTTTTTAGAAACTAATTCAAATAATGGAAATTCTAACGAACGAACCTTTCTAGTTTTTTCATATTTTGAATTTGAAACTTTAAGATGCAAAATTATTTCAAAAATTATTAAAAAAAATTTGATAAATATATTATTTCATGTTTTAAACTCATTTTTATTAAAATTAACATAAATAAAGTGTAATATGTTATAAATTATATAATATTGTAAAATAATAATTAACAAAATTTATAACATATATGTTAATAAATTAATTAATACTATTTTAGATTGAACTAAATATTTAATTGGTAAGTATTACTAGTTTACAAATATCTACTGTTTGATAATCATTTCGTTTTTCGTTTTTGGTTTTCCGCTTTTAATTTTTCAATAAGTTGTTTGATAACCAATTCAATTTTGTGTTTTTTATTTTTCAAAAACCATTTTGAAATTCTATGTAAATCTTCTAATACTCAACTTTTTTTTCTTTATCATATTTAGGGGAAGACAAAAATTTACATAGGGTCGGGTCCTAAAAATAGAAAATGCATGTCCCGACCCCGTCCCCGATTCCATTTTTTAAATAATTAATATATATTGATTATACTTTTTTATACTTAAATTCTAAAAATAATTAAAAACAATTATAAAACCGATATTTTTTCTCGAGAACAGCTCTCGGACTTAAGAACGAGGTGGAGACGGAGACTAAAAATTTTCACGAGCCCGAGAATGGGGGAGAGCATCCCCACATCCACACTATTGTCATCTCTACTCTACATAAAATTATCTCTCTCTCTAATATGTATTTTCAATTTTCAAACTTTTTAAAAACTAAAAACGGTTACCAAACGTGTTTTGGTTTTTTGCTTTTTAAAAACAAAAAATAAAAAATGATTATCAAACATGGTTTTTGTTTTCTACAAACAAAACCAAAAACCAAAAAGTAAAATAGTTATCAAGCGGGCCTTAAATATATTGAATATTTTTTTTAATTGAGATTCAATTTCGAAATCTAGTATCAAAATCACATATCCAAAAATATTGAAACATATTGAATACAACTTGTTTTTCATTTAATTCCATGTTTTCAAATTTATGTTTCTAAGATTACCAACAAAATGCAACAATGCTACAGGAGGACTCATAACATATCTCTCTTGTCAAATATGATTTAGTTTTATGTCTAAACATTGATCAACTCACATATTTTTCATGCCTTTCTTATACTTGAGAGAGGAAAAAAGAACTTATTAATCAATCACCTAATTTAAAATTCTTTATAAATTGATTACAACGTTCTGCGTTATCCTATAATATATGGTGCTTTAAATTTTTGTTAGTATTATCAATATAATAATGATTCCACCCATTTGAGCATAATTTATGATGTCATATTATATATTAAGAAAAAGAATAGTAATTCTAAAGATCAATTCATATGATTACTGTTAACTTGAAAAGTTAATTAAAATTTAGCTTTTTAAAGAAAGACTTAAAAGTCATGGGCGCATGATTTGGACTAATATGAAATAATCATAGAACAAGGTGAGAGTAGTTGGAACTAATTCATTTTATATTATTGTTGCAGATGACTCTTAAAGACGGGAAAAATTAACTCCATTGTTTCGACTCTTTAAGCTTCGGTAACAAGAAAGTTCAATAAATGATTTTAAATTTGGTGACTTGAAATTTAGAAATAATTTTAATTTTTTTATTTTGGAACGATTTAAAATGAATTAAGTTAAATCTCGATGTTCGTTGTCAAGAAAAATTAAAATAAAATAAAATTCTACTAATTTAGACTTTTACTCTAGACTTATTAATTAGAAATTAAAATATAATAAAATTAAATAGGTTATTTATTTTGAAATTCTATGAAATCTTGTGAAATTCGAACATTTTGATTTGAGATTTTTTTTACGTAAAAACTAAATTTAAAATCTAGTAAGATTCCAAATCATTCAAATTAAGGACCAATAAAATTCATTTGAAATCTATTATGATTTTGAAATTCTTGAGCATAAAAAATTTCAGGTTCTAATCTCGAGCGAGTCAAAAATTAAAAATATATGATGGAAGTACTTAAGCCAATTAGAGAATTTATTATATCTTAAAAGAGGACATAACTCGATTATCAAAGAGTTCTCCACAACCAAAGCGAACATATCTCAACAATAATTGACATATACCTCCAACCACAAGATCGTGAGTTCGAATCTTATCCCCAATATGTTGTACTAAAAAAAACAAAAAGAGTTCTCTTTGATAACAAGAAGCCAATTAGAGATCATTTAATTATGTGATCATTGAGTCCGGTTTGATAATGTTTTTGCCTTTAATTTATATTTTACAAATTCATGGTAATGGTTTACTAACATTTTTTTCATAATTACTAAAAAAACATATGTATCCTTACCAATCTAAATATAACTCAATCAGTTAAGTCATATATCATTGACCAAAAAGTTGAAAATTCGAATCTTCATCCCATCTATTGAATTTAAAAAAACATCTATCCTCTAAAGAAAAAACATCATAAATCTAAAATGGTTACCGATCATTGAATCCTAAATGATTAAAGCAAAAACACTTTCTGACATATGGTTAAAACAAACAAAAGAACACTTAATATAATTTATAAAACAAATTTCTACAACATAAGTGTTGGAGGGTAAAAACTGACAAGACACGTAGACCAATCAAGTCAACTCGAGAAGAGTAGCCACATATGGAAGGTAAGGTCTGACCTACGACTATAACCGATCTGACACATCCTTGCAAACCTAGTCAATCTCCCAAGCTCTACTCGATCGAGCTAAAAGGATTTCGACCTCAAATCCAACAGTCTGTATAAACCATCCAACCTCCTATCGGAATGACCATTACAGACTTGTCTCCCCACCCTGCCTATAAAAAGGACATCATTTCTACGACTTAAGTATAAATTCTATCTGACACAGACCTATTTAACTCGAATTCAGACTAACTTCAACTTGAGAGTGTCTATTTCTCTTTTACAAGTCTCTCCTCCTGCAGCTCACCCCTCCATAGCTCGTCCATATTCATTGAAAGCCGATCTCAAGTAGCTCGGTAGAATCCACCATGGACAATATGTTTGTATAATTAGCTAGCTATTGAAATAAATAACTTTCTATATCATCTAAAGTTCATTACTCGATAGTCACTTAAAATAAATTTGTAAAGTCTTGACGCCACGCATATTCAATGTATATTATGATGTGTGTTGGTCCTCAAAAATAATAATTATAATCCAAAGTGGTTGAAGAAAAGTTTGGTGCATTGGAAATGGTAAATTTAGTTGAATTTTGAGGTTAAAATGCAAGAAAATAACTTGAACGAAGACTAATTCATAATCACTCCCACATAAATACATCTATAAATAGACTTTAACAAATGCACAAATTTTTCATCAACCAAATTTTCCTTTGGTTTTGCAAGAAAAAAAGAAGAGGGACAATTATGGAAAATATTAAATTTTCATCAGCCATATTTCTTTTGGTTTTACAAACAACAATATTTCTTGTGTCTGCTTATGATCCCAGCCCTCTCCAAGACTTCTGTGTAGCCATTGATGAACCCAAATCTGCTGGTATTTTTCTCATCCTTCAAACTAATTAAAAATTTCAAGTTGACATTTTTTTTTTAAATATATCTTTGATTTCTAAGTTTCTTTGTTTAGATAATTAGGGCTCCTTAGATCAGGTTTGATTTGATAGCTATTTTGTTTTGGATTCTTATTTTGAAGATTATACTTGCTTTGATAACTATTCTTAAATCCACATTTGATAATAGATGAGGAAAACAATAATACATCTGAGTTCATGACTAAATTTTAAAAACAAAAACTACTTTTTGAAAAATACTTTTTATATATAGTTTTAAATTTTTGGCTTATATTTGAAAATATATATTTAAAAAATAGATGAGAAAAAACTAAGAAATGCATGGGTGAAAATACAAATTTGATTTTCAAAAAATATAAAATCCAAGAAAATGATTGTCAGACAATGCCAAACATAAATACATGGACGAAGTAGATTTTAAATATGCTTTTGCAAATAAATGAGAAAAATAAATACTATTTACACAGCCTAAATTTTAAAAATAAAAGATAAAAAGAAACATAAATACATGGGAGAAATTTTTTTTTCTTTTTTTCCTAGAAATGAAATACTTACAATTATTTTGTAGTTTTAATTATGTTTAATATTTATTATGCATTTGATTGTTGGTAAGAATTGATTAAAAAAAAAAAGAAGCGTTTTTTTAATGTGTTTTTTTAATTTTAGAAAACAAAGCACAAAGCACCAAAATGGTTTACAATTCCATAGTTAGTTTGTCAAGAAAATGTTACTAAAAAACATATGTTTTTCAAAATTAAAAAATATAATCATATTTCTTAGAACTCTTTGATAATTTTTTTTTATAAACTATCTTATGAATTACCATCCAATCATTACTTCGTTTATTAATTAAAAAATTATTTGTGAAATTATAGCTAAATTTCATAAGAAAAACCATCCTTCTAAGAACTATTTTTTTAAATTATTAATATTATAATTTTAAAGAATATAATAGAAATTTTAAAAGGTGGTAAACAAACTTAACAAAAAGTAAAAATTTGTGTATTTAAGATAGCCTTAGTTCCAAACTTTTAAATGTCCATGCCAATAAAAATTTCAAGGTTGCACTCTTATAAAAATATGAATAAAATGTCGAAGTTGATAAATATTTTTAAAAAAATTATAATAATAAATATTTAAACTAACAAATAAGCTTTCCACACTTTTGAAATAAGTTAAAAGAGTATTAATATTAATATCATGTCATATTTTGTTGATATATATATATTTTTTTAGTTTGTTAAGTTTTTTTTTGCTGTACTATGAAAATGTCGATGTCAAACTCATGAACCAGCGAAAATTAAATATCATCTGTAGTTGTTGAATATGTAGTTGTTGAATGATTATTATTTTTTTTAAACTTGATGCTCCAATATCGTAGTATTTGTGAACGGAAAGTTCTGCAAGGATCCGAACCATGTGAATGCGGACGACTTCTTCTTTTCGGGACTCGACGTTGTGGGCGAACCAAACAAACAGGGTTCAAACGTGACTCAAGTTAACGTAGGCAACTTAAAAGGACTCAACACTTTAGGCATCTCCTTGGCCCGCCTCGACTTCGCTCCATATGGGCTTAATCCGCCCCACACCCACCCGCGAGCCACCGAAATTCTTGTAGTGATCGAAGGCAGTTTGCACGTCGGGTTCGTGACGTCAAACCCGAACAAACTCTTCACCAAAGTGCTTAACAAAGGAGATGTGTTTGTGTTTCCGATCGGGCTCATTCACTTCCAGCTGAACGTCGGGCATGGCCCGGCCCTTGCTTTTGCGGGACTTAGCAGCCAAAATGCAGGTGTTATTACAATTGCTGATGCTGTGTTTAACTCTGATCCCATGATCTCTCTTGATGTGCTCACCAAGGCCTTCCAAGTTGACAAGAATGTTATTCAATATCTTCAGAAGCAATTTAAGTGAGGGAAATTATGGAATAGTTTCAAAGATATGTGCTTTTAAATTATATATGCACCCATAAGTTACTAGTTATGTGTTGTGTTGTTGCTGTGTTTCTCAAATTTCAAAGTGAATAAAGCGGGTTGCAATATTAATTACTATTCCTAATACAGTAATAAATTTCTTTTCACGAGCTGAATGTATAGCTAAACTAGTTAAAGCATCTACCTCCGACCAAAAGTTCGTGAGTTCGAATCCCGTCCCCACAAGTTATATATAAAGAAAAAAATATTTCCACCTACCATTGCAGCAGGCAAGCCTACGAAGAATAATAAAAATCTCATATCTATGATCAATAACCATTTGATGGATGGCAATGAAAAGGCAAAAAAGGCTTTTGGATGCTTGGAGATGAGGATCATGGCTTATAGGAAAGTGCAGATTTCTTAAGTTTTATTTCTATAGATTACATTACCAAATCTTGATCCGATGTAATTCTTGTTTATGGATTTTTTTTTTTTTTGGCTGCAAATGGACTGTCCTGGTCCTGTTGGCAAATAATGGAGTTGAAAGTAAAGTGGCTGCAACAGTATAGTTTTGAACCATTATTGTTCATTTCCATATTTATACTTCTTGTACTAAAACTGCCCATTACCATATTTGTTTTCAATTTCCTCTCAAAGTTTTTATAAGGGCAAATTTGAAATATGGTACTTATACAATTATATGCACCCCTAAATTTTTAATGGTAAAAATTTAATCCCAAACTTCAAAAAAATTGGATCTATTTACTCTATTTCTCCCTACTGAAAGTTTAGCGGTGCAATTCTTCCACTAAAAGTTTAGCGGTACAATTCTTTCACTGAAAGTTGAAGAATTTAATATTTACTCTTCAAAGTTTAGGAGTAATTTTTTACTTTGAGAGTTTAATTTTTACCATTGATAAGTTTATGGGTGCAATTGTAACAACTACCATACTTTAGGGGTGGTTTATGCAATTTGCTCTTATTTTCCTGGTAGGTAATGAACTAACCCAAACATTTGAAAATGAGAAGAGAGATGTCGAGTGAGAAAATATAAATATATATACTATGTTAAATCGAATCTGTCTATCTCTCCGAACTAATTAAAAAGGGAAAAATACTAGAAAGCAAAACTATATAAAATAAGTTTAAAATAGGCAATGAAGCTTTCGAAAGATGTCGTGAATAAGCCAATATGTCATGAATTTGTGAGCCTTGTGCATCAAATGAACTCCATCCCAACTAATTCGTTCGTTGAGGTTGGCAGATACTGGTACTCCTGGAAGACCATATATTTGCGTTAAGGTAAACTCATAATCACCTCCAATTCCACAACAAAGACTTTTGCATGGATGATTCGTGAAATCCTACATATTAGAGATGACACCAATTTATTAGATATATAACATTTTCTACATCAATAAAAATATAGTGCAAAAAGTAGGGTTAAGAAACATACCAAGTAAGAACCCGCAATAGTGCATTATAATAATCACCATATATAATCATTACATTTGGGTTCTCTTTTTTTTCAATGATCTGATGGCATGTTTTAGATATTTATTGTGATAGTTTGTTAAACCGTTCAAATCCTTCAAACAATGAAGTTCATCATAAGCGGTTGAATCCTTTGTTTGAAATCCAGTAAGATAGATTATTGGTAGACAACCTATTGGAAACTTTCCTGGAACAATAACTCGAGCAACACCATAATTTATAACTCTCTACAAAACACACGATTATGAAAGAAAAGAATAAGAACTTCTAATTTATATAGATAGCAACAATACCGCCATACTTCACACCAAAAAATAATAATAAAGAAAAAAGAAAATAATATAACATATATTGTGACAACATCTTTTATAGTTTGAACAACTTCGTGCACCATATTTTTAACTTCGTCAATAGTTTTGCCTTGAAATAGAGCATAATTGTAATCATTCCCTCCAATCTCACCGACCAAAAACAAAGCATTCTTTAACTTCTCCTTGCAATCTATAAGATATACAAGCTAGAGAATTAGTATATATATATAATCGAAAAAGAATTTAAACATGGAATATATACTTCGTATAATTAAATCGAAGTCGAAGGAAGTATATTCAAACCTCTTTGATTAGAACATATATTATTAAAATGAGCAGACATCCAATCAAGCTGTTTAGTTAGAGATGAGTTAGTGACGGGAGATAAGATCTTGTTTAGAGCAAGAACTGTCCGCCACAGCAAAATTGACTCCATGACTCATTGATGCCTCTTTATTCAAATATGGGTTGATCAAAGGGAGTCCAGCGGCCAAAGCTGTAATAAAAATGATAAATTTTATTTATTTTTGTTATTGACGTGTAAGATATAGACAAAAATGAGATCATAATCTAAAGCATCATATTTTAAAGAGGTTCAATTTTAAGACCTTGTGCATGATAATTTGAGTTCAGACACTATCTCCGATCAAAAGATCGTGAGTTTGAATCACCGCCCCACATATTGTACTAAAAAAAGACCTTATTGATAAATTTGACTGAAAACACTGGACAAACTTATCCCAAACTACCGACATGAATCTAACAACGATAGAAAATGAAAGATAAATTCAGTAATACGTATATAAGATCAAACATATTAATTATTAATGTCAAAAGTTAGAAATAACATTTTTATATAATAAACAGGTTTTTTCCTTCTAAAAACGTAACTCATGGCTCACAATTTTTATTCGAAAACGAATCAGCCGTAGCACAATAGGATATTGAAATCACTTATTGAAGTGATCTATCCATTAGAACAACGGCCCATTGCGTTCTTAAAGAACGTTTAAGGTGAGAAAATTGAGTCATCAAATTTTCACGAATGAGATTTTCAGTATCGTATATGGAGTCGCTGAGTTGATAGATTGCGTCGAACATGCAAGCCTTCAGCGGATGAGCATTTGATGCAAAGGGAAGAAGAAGGAGGGCAAGAGCAAAAAATGATTTAGTCGAAAGGGCCATAGTAATTGTTTAAAGCATTAGTAGTGCTGGCTCTTTACAATCACCAGAATAACTCTCTTTTGGAGAGTTATCACCAGACATGAAGCCATACGACGGGTCAACTGATCCAATCGACCACGTTGAACTGTACGAGGGTTTGATGGAGCTAAGTGGATCAAGGGACGAAATTAAGTGCAGGGCTTTTTCTTTCACTTTGAAGGGCCAAGCCCGGTCCTGGTATAGGCAATTAAAACCCAAGACCATTGGGTCTTGGAAGCAATTGAGGAAGGTTTTAATAAGCCAGTTCTCTGCGCAGCATGACACGAAAACGCCTGATACCCATCTTCTCACCATTTATCAATCAGAGGATGAGTCGCTGCGTGATTTCGTTGGAAGATTTATGGCAGAAAAGATTAAAGTCCCCGACTGTTCAGATGATGCAACCAGAATGACATTCACATCGGCTATAAATAATCCAGACTTGGTTCATTCTTTTGCCATTCAACTAGCTCGGACTTACAGCGAAGCGATTCAGCGAGCACATCAATACATGCATGCAGAGGATGTGCTTCGAGCAAAACACCTCCAACACCAAACAGTAATATCTAGGCATGCACAAGCTCGAGGGTAGAGCTTGCAGCCGAGAAAAGGTCATACAAGTCGCGATCAGGAGTAAAAAAAGTCGACACGTGATAGTCGACCACGACAGGAGCGAACACGAGTCCATGATTGTCGCCAAAGGGAGTTCGACCGTTACACCCCTCTAAATGTCCCACTCTCAGAAATCCTAGCCAATATCGAAAATAGTGATCTGCACACAATGATGGAGAAGCCGAATAAGATGAAATCAAGTCCGGACAAAAGAAGCAAAAACAAATATTATCGGTTTCACAGGGATCATGGACACGATACTTCGCAGTGCTAGGACTTGAGAGACCAGATCGAGAATTTAATCAGGCGAGGTCATTTGAAAAAGTACGTAGGAAAGAAGACCGCCTGCTCTTCTCAGGGAAATAGGAAGTTCAATCGACCAGATCGTGATGATGAGGATAAATCCCCTTCACCTAAGAGGTGAGAAGCGAATGGAAAGAGGCCGGTAGTGATTAATACCATATTTGGTGGCCCAAGTGGAGGGCAGTCATGCAATAAAAGAAAAGCCCTTGTTAAAGAGACTAGTCATGAAGTTAAGACTTTATATGTTTAACTCTAGTGACCATCTCATTTACCTCGACTGATTTGGAAGGGGTCTTTACCACATAACGATGCATTAGTGATCTCACCCATAATTGATAATGTGCAAGTTTGACGGGTACTTGTCGACGGAGGGGCCTCAACCAATATACTCTCGCTCTCAACCTATCTGGCTTTGGGTTGGGCAAAGTCGCAGCTGAAGCGGTGTCCGACACCCCTAATCGGTTTCTGGGGAGAGTCAGTCATGGCAGAAGGCTGTACCGAACTACCGATCATCATTGGCGAGGGCGACAGCAAAGTTCGGAAAATTGTCGAATTCGTTGTCGTGGAATTCGACATCAGCGAACAATGCAATTTTGAGACGTTCGTACATTCACGAGCTACAAGTTGTGCCATCTACCTACCACCAGATGATGAAGTATCCAACTGTCAATGGTGTTGGAATCATCAAAGGCGAGCAGAAAGCTTCACGAGAATGTTATGCCACCACATTAAAAGGTGCTCGAACTTGCGCAATGGTCTTAGGAAGTACGTCTAACAAAACACCTTCAGGTGATGAGTTCGCCAATGAATCCGGATGGGGAATGTCGAAGCAAGAGCTTGAACAACTTAAATTAGGGTTAGATGAAAGAATGATTAGCATCGGAATAGGGCTTAAAACCCCAATGCGAGGAGAACTCGTTAATTTCTTACAAGGGAATTCTGATGTATTTGCATGGTCTCACGAAGACATGCCAGGAATAGACCCTAATGTGATAGTTCATAGGTTGAAAATTAATCTGAATTGTAAGCCTATTAAACAAAAGCGTCAACCTATTGACGTAACTCGTAGCGCTATAATATATGAGAAGGTTAATAAGCTCCTCGAGGCTGAATTTATTAAAGAAGTTTACTACCCCGCTTGGCTCTCCAATGTTGTAATGGTAAAAAAATGCTAATGGGAAGTGGAGAATATGCGTTCACTTTACAAATTTAAATAAAGCATGTCCAAAAGACAGCTTCCCCCTTCCCCGAATCGATCAACTCGTTGACGCGATGGTAGCTCATGAGTTACTAACCTTCATGGATGCTTACTGGGGTTACAATCAAATAAAGATGCATGTACCTGATCAGGAGTATACAACCTTTGTCACAGACCAAGGTCTTTACTGTTATAAAGTGATGCCTTTTGGTCTTAAGAATGCTGAGGCCACATATCAACGGTTAGTAAATATGATGTTCAATAAACAAATAGGTCGGTCAGGAAGGGAGGCACCAAATCGGCGAAAACAGGGGGAGTTCCGGACACCTCAAAAGAACACTGCCCCGCATTGGAGGGACCAGCAGTGAAGCCCGCATTGTCTGCTAAAGGGGAGCGCGATTGAACCTCGTCAAGCTCCTGAAGGGATATCCCAAGTCTGTCTCCTGGGGCTTCAAATTCGGATTTGGTCTCTCTATAACCTCTGGGTGGTGAAATAGCAATTTCAGAAAGAACAGGAAGGACAACTTCCGTGTGGAGATCAACGGGTTGAGTGTTAGGTGGATCGACTAGTTCCTCATCACGCTGCAACCTCTTCCTTCTCAAAGGTTGTTGATCCTCAGCACCACTCTCCTGTAGAGAGTGCTCGCTGGAAATCTCGTTTACTGCTGCTTCAGCAAGAGAAGAAACAAGCCTCTGTCTAGAGGCATTTTTCGGGGTAGGTGGCTTAGCCATAGGAGGATGGAATGGCATGGCCGCCGGTGCCCCAAACCCGGTGTTAGGTGCAGCCCGTGATTGTGTCACGCAAGCCCTCTTCTACCTTGCCTTTTTCAGGGGAGAATTCGCAGCCACTTCTTCCCTAGCTGCAGAGTCAGGGGTACCAACCCCCAGCGGGATTTCACCACAAATACCAGAAGCCCATCAGAGTGCCCCATCCATTCGGGGTTAATTGGGTAGGAGCTAAGTTGACAGCATTGAGAAAAAGCTTGGCAAAGGGATGTAAGGGCAATCTAACGCCGTACTCAAACATTTGGGGGTAGAAACTAACATACCCTAGTGGGGGTTTATCGATTGTTTCACCCGCCACAGGGATTCTCAGCTCAATGTCGTTTGGGATAGAATAATTAAACCTAAGGATCCCCAATAATTCTTCAGGGCAGTTGGAATACCAATAATCGGAGCAATTGCCGCTAATGTCCGGCGATTCATTACGCTTACTCCGGTGAAATTTTATACTTTTTACTGGAGGATTCTCTAGGGGTGCTTGGGAAATTGAAGTCCTATGAGAACTATCATCGAATGATTTAGTCCTAGCCATTCACGAAGCTTAAAGAGCTGAGAAGAGGTCAAAGCGAAAGTGAGGATAACCTAATGAAAAGTAAGGGAGAAAGAAGCGCCTAACCTCGTGAGTTCGTGGTGGTTCAAGTCTCCAGCAACGAAGATCTCTAAGCGATTTCGAACACTTAAGCAAAATTTTCACTAAGCCGTTATAAATACTTGAGGGAGACGGTACTAGCTTGGAAGTGTGGGGAAAAATGAGTTCGGTTCTACACCCCTAAATTCGAAATTAAACACTACTTTAAGAAATTCAAATAAACCCGTAAAATCTTCTCAAAGTAGGGGGCTATTGTTTAAACCGTCGATCTTCAAAGGACACGTCACTTGATTTCTTTATCACAAGGGTGAACATCTTACGAAAGTAAATAATACTAGGTCGGTTCACAACCGAACTATGCATTTAACCTAGCTAAGAACTCAGCTAAACGGTTATCCCGCTACCCACGATGAGACGCTCCAACTGCTCTCCCTCACAATACGTAATCTTCCTATTTTTATGGAGCGGGAACCACTTCGTTCAAACGGGATCCTCCACCCCTCACAACGGTTACTTTTTCTCATTTTCTTATAAGTATCTCCGAAACCAAGTAAGATGGTATGCAAAAAACAAGCTAATAGTTGCTTTATTATTATTTTCGTTGGCACAGAGACTAACTAGACCGTCGGAGTGCTAATTTATTTTTTGCAGGTTTTAATCCTAGAGTGTTCTCGGGAATTTATTGTGATTATCGATTTTCCGGTAAGAACAGTAATATGTATATTGTTCATGAACAAAATTTTTATTTAGGTATGATATCTAAATACAAATACAATAATTTTGTTTTCAAATAAGTACAATCGACTTTAACAAAAGTAAAAATATGAAAATACCACTTTTTATTTTTATTTTTTTAAGTTTTACAAAATAAAAATTAGCTTAAATATTAAAATTTGTAATAAACAAAATATAGGCCTAAATTTAGCTTTGAGTAAACAAAAATTTAAATAAATCATAGTATTGAATATAATACAACTATCAATGAATTTCCGAACAATTTCAATAATCGTATCAAAAGTTTTGCCCTTCTATTTCATAATAAGTTAAAAAGTCTTGGCTTTAATTATAATTAATTATGGCATTCTAAATGACTTTAGAATATCAAAAGTTTCATAACATTTCAGTTCTCTACCACTAAAAAAAATGTTTTTATTAAAACTTATTTTTAAAATAATTCTGCATTAAATAAAATTAAAGAAAAAATGCTTCTTTTGAAACGTATTCCAAAAATAATGCTTTTGAAAATCGTTCACACGACCATGTCATTTTTAGTAGTTGGTCGTAGTCAAGGACGTGACGCTTTATTGGCGCCACGTATGATTTTTTTTTTTAAAATCAAGACATGGTCGTCTCTGTGTCTGAACCCATTTTACAGTCATTTCCTCAAGGGACGGACGGACAACTTGGATTTACAGGGAAAAAATAAGTATTATTATATATTATATATCTAATAGTAGATTTCGTTACCGGAAATTGATTAGTGCTGCAGTCGATGATGGTGCAATTTTCAGCACTCTCTTCACGTGCTCGATATTATCATTATCATTATTATCAAATCCTGACTCTAAGTAAAGAGTTGATTATATATAATAATTAAGGTGATTACAAATCCACTTAAAACTATAATAATTATATATATTATATATTTTTTATACACAATTTATTATAAATAATATATTGATATAATAATAAATAATAATAATTATTACTCTCTTCCTCAAAAAAAGAAATTAATTATTATTACTTAAAAATAATAATAAGTAAAAAGTTGATTAACAATGCCTACACAGTTTATGAAATATATTATGATATAAATAACAATATTGATGTTTTCCAATAAAAAAATAATAGTAATGTATTGTTTTAAAAGAATAATAATAATAATAATAATTAAAAAGTTGATTAGTGAAACGAAAAAAACTTGCGGTTTATGAGGTTCCAACCATAAAGAGAATGATGAAAATTACACCATCATTCAGTACGCCATTAATCAATTCTTGAAATAAAATCTACTTTTAAATATATATAATATATATTAATATTTATTTTTTCTTTAAAAATCCAAGTCGTCCCTCCGTTCCTTGAAGAAACGACCGTTAAATGAATTTTGACACGAGACGACCATATCTTGATTTTAAAAAACAATCACGTGGTGCACGTCCTTAGAGACGACCAACTACTAAAAATGACATGGTCGTCTCTTCAGACGACCAAGTGGGGAACGAATTTTAAAAGTATTATTTTTGGAATAAACTTAAAAATAAGCATTTTTTCTTTAATTTTATTTAATGGAACGTTAATTTCTATAAGTTTTCTATTAAGTCATATAGTGTATCTATTGTTTCTTCTCTTATTCTCTTGTAATTAGTTTTTTTCTTATTCAAAATATACATGTGCATGCTTTAGATTTGCAAGTTCATTTTTATTAAATAAGTAGCACATTTATTAAATTACAATATTCTATTTTGTTAATTTTATATTGATATTATTGATTGTATTTAAATTGTTTTTATTTTGAAGAACACTTTTACATAACTTTATTTTGTAGAGAACTTAAAATAGGAAATGTCAAACTACTAACTTACAGCATAATTTAATAGTTAAAAATATTAATATTTGTCATATATGCATTTATCATTTTTCAACTATATTTCGATTGACTTGAATTTCGTTAAAAATAGAGATTGTTAGATAACGATGAAACTAAATCTTTAGGAAAAGAAATTTGGGTTTCAGTTTTATTTGAGTCTTTTTAATTTAAAAATGTTTATTTTAATTTTTAAACTTGAAAATAATTTTTTTTATTGAGTTAACTTTTTTTTGTTATAGTTTTATTATATCATCTCTTTGATACCGCCCGCAATTAATTTTATGTGGTATTTTTTAGAGTTCAACCATGTGACGTTAGAGTTTGAATTTATAATCTTTTGGTTGAGAATAAATTCGTTTAAGTAGTTTTAAATTGTTGTTAATTTACATTACTATACATAATTATGTGAATAGTTGATATACATGGCACAATGATAATAATAACTATAATATCATTATGCCAAATAGAACATAGCTATTTTCTTTTTTTTGGAACATTCTCTAAGTTATTGAAATTTTGGAAACAACAAAAACTAGTTTCCCCTTTCTTGTTTCGGTTAATTGTTTTATCATAATTGAATTTTTAGAAGCTGAAACCATGTAATACATTTTTCTTTATTAAAATAAAGAAACAAAAACAAGAAACTTACCAAACCGGTCATAATATTTTGATTTATGTTTTGGAGAAAAAAACAACTTGATTTGTTTCTAAAAATTTTAAAATTTTATACGATTTAGAGAGTATTTTTAAAAATGAAGAAACCAGCCCACATGAATAATGGTCAAATACTTAAAATTTTCAATAAAATTGAAAATGATAATCAAGAAAGAAGAACTTTACCATTATCTTAAAAATTTAGGATCGAAATTAAAATCATTGGACGAAAAATATAATTTAGGCCAAATGAAACCCTAGTTTCCGAAGGAGTACCAAAATAATAATAATAATAATAATAATAACAAAAATAAATAAATAAATAAAAATAAAAATTTCCAGTTCCATCGCGGCTCGCGCCATTTCTTTTCGGTTGAAGCAGTCTCTCCCGCGCTTTCCCCATTTTCTCTCAGCCAAATTAAACCCCTTTTTTCAAGCTCCCCAAAATCTTTCGACTGAAGCAAGAAATCTCATGATCGAGACTAACTTTTGGCTCTCGTTCCTGTTTCGGTTTCATCTGTAAGGTACTGCTTCCTTCCTCTTCCGATTTTAGGTTTTCTTGAATTTTGAGACAACTCTTAACGATGGTTTCTGCTCTTTCTTTGCAAACGGACGAAATTCATGTTTAAATTTTCCGAAAACTAAGAAATCTGGGTCGTGAATTGTGATGGTCTCTTCAGCTTTCGGTGTTTTCTTCATCACAGTCGGTGTGTTGTCAGTATTTTTTGTTTGCACGATTTACCTTCAAATTTCATATGGGCAAACCAAATATTGATGTAATAATTAACTAGAATGTTTTGAACTGCAAGTGTAAAGAGAAAAAGGAACGTAGAGTGGAAATCCCTTGATGCAGTTGACTTGGGGGTAAAGCTTTTGAGCTTACAATTTGATGCAGTTTCAAGGTCAGGACATGATCCATGCTCGCTTTCACATTTCATAAACCATTGTAAGATTAATTTCTTGTTTCACTTGTAATTTATGAACTTTATTTTTTGGCCAATTTATTTTTGTTTATTTAGGACTTAGGGTTGTGGCGGATGGGTTTGGTAGACGTTTGAAATTGTTTTTTAAACAAATATGCATCACACGGTTTCTGCTTCAACCAGGATAATCAATGAAATTGTCTTGAATGATTGATATAGAAGACCTCTCTGATGTTTGTTTTTCCTTTTTAGGAGTTTCAGAGCAGTAACAGCTAGAAGATCCTCGAGTTCTCCACTGAAAATTCCCTCTAAGAATTCTATCCAGAAAATTCAAATGGGAACTAATCAGAACTCTGTACTAAGAGGTTGCAGCAGTAATTCTAGAGGAGCCTTGGTGGTTCTAGAAGGCTTAGACCGCTGTGGGAAGACTACACAGTCCAGTAGATTAGTCCAATACTTGGAAGGACTTGGGTTTTCTGCTGAACTATGGCGGTTTCCCGATAGAACTACAAGTGTTGGACAAATGATATCTTCATATCTTTCAAACAAATCGCAGTTGGATGACCGCACAATACATCTTCTCTTTAGTGCCAACCGATGGGAGAAGAGGTTTGTTAGTTTTTCTTCATACCACTTCCAGTTTAAGTCCTTACTTAGATTGACAATTTTCAGTACCTAATGAGTGATGGAGCTGTCAATGTTGTTATTAAGTGGCGGTTTTTTTTTTTAAAAAACAAAAAATGTTGAGACCTGGTTTTAGAAGTTTCAAGAAATGGCAGTTGCGAATTTGGTGGACTGTTGACCACAACCATTTCTTTGATGAAGAATAGTAATGTACCCCAAGAGTTTGTGATTTGGGTTTAATTAGTGGAATGGCTGTCAGATCGTTGATGGAATCAAAATTGAAGAGTGGAACCACTCTTATTGTTGATCGGTATTCTTATTCAGGGGTGGCCTTTTCAGCTGCCAAAGGACTTGACATTGAATGGTGTAAGGTATGAATACAAATTAGCAATTTGGCTAAATCCTTTGTTTATGCATATTTATGTTCTTTTTAATTGTAAATTTGGGCTTTTAAAATGATGATGTTATGGTTGCCCTTTGCAGGCACCGGAGGTTGGCTTGCTAGCTTCGGACTCAGTACTGTACCTAGACATATCTCCAGAGGTTGGTTAAATTATTATAATAATATCTTTTGGAAGAGCCAAACCGAGCATAGCTCAAATGGTTAAGGCACCTATCTCTGACCAAACAGTCATGAGTTCGAACTCCCACCCCCCACATGTTGTACTCAAAAATAATATCTTTCGAAAGAAATTTAAAAGCATCTATTAGAACTATCATGGATGGTTTATTGGTCCAAAGAGGCTAGGGTTAATTAAGAGGAAATGAGTTCAAATTCCATGATCGCCACCTACTTTAGGAATTAGTAATTCCTATGTGTTTACCGATACCAAATGTAGTAGGGTCAGGCGGTTATCCCGTGAGATTAGTCGAGGTGCACGTAAGCTAGTCCAGACACCACTCACGATATCCAAAAAAAAAAAAAAAAAGCATTTGTTTGATGGTTTGCCATAATTTACCTTTTTCCAACTTGAAAATGTAATGAAGCTACCAACTTGAGTATTTATCTTCGACTGAGAGGTTGTGAGTTCGAATCCCCATCCTCACGTATTGTACTCAAAAGGAAAAAATTATAATGAAGCTATGATATAACTTACTTGACTATCTTATATTTAATAAATGGTTTTTTTCCTGGTTTTGTGATACAATTTCATTCTAAATTTTGGTCTTATTTTTATTTTTAATTCAAGCTCAAAATTTTTTGCATATCACCTTATACTGATTCAAGCCACTAAATCATAGCTTTCATGAAATTTTTCTAGTCATAGCTGATATATCAACTGTCAACCATGTCTCTTAACATCATTAGAGCAATTGTAAATTTGTATTGGGTTTTTCTATGGAACTCAATCAATTGTATTGGTAGCATAGAGTAGCAATTGCTCAAGTAGAGCGGATACCTGAAGTTTTATTATGTAATTGATGGCAATGGACTACTGAGAATAACAATTTATAATCAAGAGAATAGTGTACTAGCGTGATTTTATCTGGAAGTAATGCCATTTTTATGTTAATGGTGAAAATTGATTTTGATCTACAACCCCTGACAACTACATAAATTCTCAATTTTAAAAACTTCCAATTTGTATTATGATTGATTAATGAATAAAGAGTTGTTCTGAATCAGAATGCTGCAGAAAGAGGAGGTTATGGCCGTGAGAGATACGAGCAGCTTGAGTTCCAGAGAAAAGTTTACCAGTACTATCAAGTTTTGCATGATTCCTCGTGGAAGGTAACTTGTTTTTCATTTTCATGATCCTCGTGGAAGGTAATTTGTTTTTCATTTTCACACGTCTTTTTTTTTGTTTGGTCAAAAGCAAGTATTTCATTGATTTATGAAATAACCAAAATGTCATAATGGCTAATTACATGAAAGCCCACCAATTAGAGGTTAGGGCAGATAGACAGTAATCGTTGAAGGGAGAGTAATAACATTTACACCATCCAACGGCTAAAACCATAACCCTATAAAAGCCAAAGCGAGCATAGTTCAGCAATAATTGACATATATCTCCAACCAAAAAGTTGTGAGTTCGATCCCTAACCTCCACACGTTGTACTGAAAAAAAACCATAACCCTATAAAGAAACCTCAAAAGGGAGAAGTGTGGCGTTGAAAATCCGGTTGTTCCTTTCCAACCAAGTGCTCCAAATGAAGGCACAGACTATTTGTTCCCATAGTAGACTCTTTTCCTTCCTAAAAGGGTGACCTGTCAAAAGAGAATTTAGGAAGAGGGAGGAAATGTTGTGCTGAACAGTGTGCCAACCAAAGGTCCCCAGTATTCTATTTAAGAAGTTGGAGTCAAATTCACAGAAGATAAAGAGATGACCTGGAGTTTCAGCATCTTTGTAGCTTAGATGACAATAGTTTGGAGAGAGGGCTATGTGTGGTAACCTTCTATCTTGTCATGTGTGTTGATGGTGCCATGGGTAAGCTACCAATAGAAAAATTTGATTTTCTTGGGGTATTTCCCTTTCCAGATGTTGTTGTAGAGAGTCTGGGCCTGTTGGATTTCTGGGGGGGTCAGAAGGGTGTATATGGATTTTGTGGTGAAAGTTTTAGAGGAGTCAAGGGGCGAAATCCATTTGTCCATTGGTGGGAGTGGTATCAGCTTGTTAAGTTTGGTAGACAGAAGCATCCATTCTTCAACTTCAAAGTCTTTGAGAAGTCTACGGAAGCAATAATCCCATGAGTTGGTGTCCTTGGATCAAAGGTCTGTTATTTTGGCATATTTGTCAGTAGAGATGGCATACAGGCTGGAATTGAGAGATGCCAATGTTTATGTTTCAAGCCATTTATCTTTCCAGACGCTGATCACACTGTTTTCTCCCACATGGCAGATTGCATTGACTTAATTAAGTGGGTGTGTGTTAGAATAGCGCCAGGGACCCTTGGAAGAGCTGAACCTGTTGCTAGGCCATATTTCTGAATTGGTTCCGCCATATTTAGCACTGATGAAGAGCCTCCAGAGTTGGTTGCTTTCTGTAATGTACTGCCAGATCCATTTCGATAGTAAAGCCATGTTTCTGTGCTTGATGTTGCCAATGCTTAAACCACCTTCACAAATAGGAAGCCGTATTTTCTTCCATTCCACTAGATGCTTTCCACCTGCATTGCCTGCCCCTTCCCAAAGAAAGTCACGAATAATCTTCTCAATTTTCTTTCCATGCAGCCTTACCTGAGATTTGGAAGATGGATAAGTAATAAGTAGGTAGGCTGGTGAGGACAGATTGTACTAAAGTGTCTTCCTCCCTTGGAGATGTAGTGGGTGCTCCATCTGTTTAGTCTATTCTCTAAATTTTCAATGATAGGCATCCAGAAGCTTTATTTCCGGGGGTTTCCATTTAATGGGATACCCAAATATGTGGTGGGCCAAGAGCCAGCTTTACAACCCCGATGCATTCTCGAAGGCTTTTATGATTCTATAGGGATTCTTTATACTTGTGGGGTCTTTGTCTGAGAACAATAGAGTATCATTAGCGAATAAGAGGTGATTTACCTTTATGTGGCTGCATCTCGAGACATAACCGGTGATCAAGCCTCTATCTTCACTACGTGTCAATAGTCTGCTAAGCACATCTGTAACCATGGGATCCTTAACAGCGGTGGGAGGCTCGATGTTGTCATAAAAAGGGTTGGTAAGTGCAGGCTAGGGTGAGAGAGAAATGAGATTTTTTTTTAGATAAGAAACTTGTATATTCCAAAAGGAAGACAAAAGGAACAACCTAAGGGCTGGGGTAGAGGAAACCCCACCTAAAAGAACTAAACAACCGCTTTCCAATTGTACATAAGCATGGAAAGGTCGTAGTTACAAAAGAATTTGCTATAGTTGATGCACCATATTAGGAAGGTTAGGGTACAGACCCAAAATCCCAGCCTTGATAATGCCGCTTGTGTCGGGGAAAAAGTCAACACGTGATGTCCATGGGTCCGGTAGAGAGGTCGAAATGCGGGTGCACGATGCCATGGATTCTGGTCAAAAAACCTATGTAGTTCTTGGAGACAATGAAAGGATCGATTATCAATAATAGCTGGCACAAAATCGAACCGATTTTCCTTAACCCTAATCGTGGCTTCAATCAGGTCAAGGTGGGGCAAGGTCTTTTGAGCAATCTCACAAAGACCACCACAGTGATCACCAATCAGTTTGAAGGTCTCATAGTTCCAACGATCAATGGAAAGGTTTCTGATTTTTAGCCAGCCGCCATAAGAAGGAACCTTGGGGTTTTTAAGATAAGCATCTGTGCTCCAAGGGCTGAATTTTAGGTAGAAATGCCCTACCTTGTACCATCCACCAAGGATTTTGGCCTGCTTGGCATCTTCACAACGACGCAAAGCTCTATCTGCCAGGATGGGGTTCAACTCGCATTTTCACAAAGCGCTCTCATAATCTTGAACCAATCATCGTGGAAGCATCTCCGGGTGAGAATAATGGAAATAGAAAAGTCGGTGTGAGCAAAGATGGGGTTTCTGGGGATACATCAGGATGAGTGGGTTGAGAAACCACTTTTGACAGCACGTCTCTATAAGAGGTGGTAGGTGGGATAACTAGAATAGTAGTTAATGGTTCCTTTCCGTTTGAGAGCAATAACTGTGGGTGGTGGCTTTTGGATGTTTTGTCCTGTTGAGAGTAAGGTATAAAAGGATCTCCAACCCTTTCTATCAGTACCAATGGGCACAATGATCTTGTCGAGGCCACCATTGTTGTCGAGCTTGGTGATTTCAACGATGGTTCCTCGTTTGTTACTGGTTTTTTCTACCCAAAGGGTTTGGTCGTCAATACGGTGTTCTCGATAGAATTTATGGTTGATGGGAGCGTCAAGAAGAGTTGAGAAAACCGAAGTAATCCAGGTGAGAGAGGACCAATGTCTGGAGATGAAGAAAGCACGGTCTTTGGTAGTTTCTGTGAGCTTGATATGAGATCCTCTGTACCTAGGGTCAATTTCAATGGAATATCTTTTCCTTTCAATGGCAGTGGATCGGGGTTGGTAAGGTGGAGCCATAGATAGAGGTATTGGTTAAGAGAGATCCACAGATAGTAGGGTCGGCAGTGGTGGATGGTGGGGGATGGGGCGGAAGAGAGAGGGAGGAGGGAGGGAGGAGCCATTTTCACCTTTTTTTTCCTGTATCAATATAAAAGTTGCAAACAAGGTTCCCGATCAATAGCTGATTACACTGAAGAGTTTCACTGGCTAGGAGCAAGAACGAATCTTGGTGAGATTGAACAGTATCGAGTAGCATAGTATATTAGTGGCCTGCAGGCAAACATCAAGGAGAGGCCATAGCGACTTCCATGATTGTGGAAGAACAACAATCGAACAAATTCAAGATTCAATACCGGAGGAATGTTGGGGATGGGCATATTAACAAGAAAGGTACGCCCGATGGTGATAAAAGCTCTTCTTCTAATATTGCCTCTAGTTCGAAAAGGAAAACTATGGAGGAAGTCAAACCAACATATCAAAATACACGAAACGAACGACCAATGCCTACTCAAGACCGACATTAGGTAAATGTTTTTCGTTGTGGACAGGTTGGTCACTTGTCAAATGAATGTCCTCAACGAAAAACTGTTAATCTTGTGGACGACACATATGATATTGGGATTGAACATAATCTTGGTTTTGATGAGGAAGTTGAATATTTGGAACCAGATGAAGGAGAACAGGTTTCTTGTGTCATTGAACAACTTCTTATACCTAAAACTAAGTCTTTCTCACGACGCCATTATTAATGGGAAAATTTGTAATGTCATAATAGATAGTGGAAGCACAAAGAATATTGTTTCCAGCAAGCTTGTTACAACTCTGAATCTAAAGACTTCACCCCATCCAACAACTTACAAAGGTAGTTTGATAGGGACGTTTGCCATGTCTTGTTGGGATGCCCATGGCAATATGATACCCAAGCCATTCACAAAGGGCGTCACAACACTTATGAGTTTTTATGGATGGAAAAGAAAGTGGTATTACTCTCATTGATTAGATACTATGGTCTTAACAATAAAAACAAAGATAAGGGACAACTGTTCCATATTGCTAGTTGCAAGCAAATGATGCTCCAACGTGATTCCTCTATCCTTGGCCTAGTTGTTGAAAACTTTGATTCCTCTAAATCAAACCTAGTCTAAGAAGTCCATTCGGATGTTCAATGAATATTTGATCAATGCCCTAAAATATTGGATATACCCTCTGATTTACCTCCCCTCCCTCCGAGAGTCCAGCAGAATATAAATCCTTCGTGAGAAGATACAAGACCTTCTAGTCAAAGGACACATCCAATCTAGTTTAAGTCCATGTGCCATTCCAGCACTTTTAACACCAAAAAAGGATGGGTCGTGGAGGATCTACATTAATAGTAGGGTCGTCAATAAGATTACAGTTAAATATTGATTCCCTATCCCTAGAATTGGAGATTTGCTAGACCAACTAGGGGTGCAACATTCTTTTCCAAAGTTGATCTTCGCAGTGGCTATCACCTAATCCGAATACGGGTTGGAGATGAATGGAACACCAATTTCAAGTCACATGAAGGGCTATTCGAATGGTTGGTTATGCCTTTTTGGCCTCTCCAATGTGCCAAGCACCTTCATGCTCCTCCTGAATCAGGTTCTTCTACCTTTTCTACACAAATTTATCGTTGTTTATTTCGATGATATTCTTATCTATAACAAATCTCGAGAGGACCATCTCACCCATCGTACTCTACTCTTTTCTACCTTGAACAAACATAACTGGTACATTAACCTTTGTCTATTTCTTGTGACAAAGATCCCTTTTCCTTGGTTTTCTAATAGGATATAATGGTATTAGAATGGATCCTAAAAAAATTAAAGTTATTTATGACTGGCCCCAACCTAAATCAACAAAAGATATCCAATGTTTCTCAGGTTTGGTTTATAAAAAATTTCAGCACCATTGCGGTACCATTGAAAGACTGCTTGAAAAAGGGTAAGTTGCCATACTCTCCAATCCAAACTAAGCAACAGCCCGATTCTAAGCCTCCTAGAGTTCACACAACCTTTTGAGGTTACCGTAGCATGCATTCCCACTTTGACCTGTTCGAACAATCCTACTGGATTCAATAGAAGTTCTTTTGTCGTCACGCCTCTCAACTGGAAGTGGAACTTCTTTAGAAAGATAAGGTGTGGCAATAGGTAGTCTCTAGTAGTAGAGGTCACTTTCCCAATTAGAGGGTGGGACTTTAGACCTATAAGTTTCATTGCATCACTTTGTAGGAAAAGTGTTAAGACCCCCAATTGTAAAAACTTATAGCAGAAAGGGCAAAGAGGTCATTGTAGAGGGGGAG